GCGGATAGCCCTCGTGTCGCTTTGCGCGAAATTCAAAACAAACAAACAAACTAAACACACCTCTAGGCCACTCCCAGTCCACGTGAAAATAACTGGATCTTGAACGTTTTTACATTATGTTTAGCTCTATATTTAAATAACTGTTAGTTAATTTAATGACATTTTTCTATGTTACATCTCCTATCCTCAAAGGTCGCTCTTAAGCATTTTACTATCTGACTGACAAACATGTTTTAATATAAGTTATGTTTATTAAGAGAAATATGCATATAATTAACTGTTTGGATCCCAAACGCAACGTGAAAAAGGATTGGACGATTTTAATTATCATAGAAATAGTTGGCTTTGGAAATTAAAAAAACAAAAAGCTTGAAAATAAGAAAATGCGTTTCTATTTTTGGAAAATATGGCATAAGAACAAACTGTATTTCACTTACGAGCTAGGGAAAAACGATTTTTTTACACTTACCTTAGCAAATTCTCAAAGCCGATCGGTGCTATGTCAGAGACCCGGATAACTTTAGATTTGTCCGCCATGTCTCCACAGAACATAGCCTCGAATACAGGGCTGGCCATAGCTAAAAGTACCTTATGACCTACATATTTTTTTGACGACGTCGAGGGTCCTACGATGAAAGTGACGTCACTGAAAGATTTAGTCTGAAGCAGGCTTGAAGTTCTTTCTAGTACTTTTTCTTTCTCCATCTTCTTCTCGTTCTCACAGTCTACATACTGAAAGAAATATAAACAAAGTTTGCAACCGCTCAGATATTATTTTCAGTGTTGTATAATATGGTTATTATAAAATCTGAGCCTGCTGTTTGAATTAAACTTGAAACTGACAACATACATCGCAATATTGAAATATATTACGCACATTAAATGCCTTAAGTTTCAATTTCACAGTAATAACAAATAAAAAAAGAAGTCTTGAAAATTAAGATTCAATCCCAACATTGTACATAGCAATACAAATGTTCACGTGGAAAACAAAAATCAACTGCATCCCCACATGTTTCACACAGTCTTGAAGTAACAGTATTAACACTCATAAACAAGGTATTTATAGGAGTATTTGGAGTAAGATTGTTCAAATGATTATCCGTACTTTTTATAATGGAAAAACAGAAATAATAATATTCTATAAAATAATATGTATTTTGGATTTGTGCATGTATTATCAATAACTACTAATCAAAAGTGAGCCGACTATATCAATCATAGATCAAAACTAAAAACTAAATTGTAAATAAGTGAAATTATTTCTGTATTACAAACTAACTAGAAGTACGTAATGTCATAAATCAGTACACAGGAAAGCTATAAACAGAAGATCATAATGTAATAAATAATACACAGGAAACCTATAAACAGAAGTGCATAATGTAGTAAATAATGCAAAGGAAAGCTCTAAACAGAAGTATATAATGTGATAAATCACTACATAGGAAAGATATAAACAGAAGTACATAATGTATTGAATAAAGCACAGGAAAGCTATAAATAAAAGAACAATAATAACATAAATATATACACGGGAAAGTTATAAACAGAAGCACATAATGTAATAAATCAGTTTACAAGGAAGCTATAAACAACAGTAAATAATGTGATAAAGCAGGACACGGGTAAGCTATAAACAGAAGTACGTAATTGTATTAAATAATATACAAGAAAGCTATAAACAAAAGTACATAATGTAATAAATCAGTACACAGAAAAGCTATAAAGCATAATGATTGGAATGCATTGATTCATCAGTCGGATACTCTCGATATTAACGATATTTTCACAAATACTGTCATTTATAAACAGTAGGAAAGATAGGAAAGCGAGCAGAATAATTAATTCTGAGAAGGTCGAATCAGAAAATAAAGGAAACAATGTTTTCGGAAAGGATCGCATACATTAAACATATACTTAAAAGGAAACGCTGATAGTGAAATACTAAGGAATTCGAATCCAGTTCATTACAACTAATTTTCTGAATTTTTCAGAGAAAATATTGTATATGAAAGAAAAACTTATAAAATTAATGTTGATATTTTGTCAATGGAAACTGGGATTGCATGTGTTCTTGGTAAATTCAACACATTAATTTTAAACAGTAAGTTTTAAACTTTTAAAAAAATATATACAGTATTAACTTGTGTAGCTGGAATATTGCTTTTGTTTCACTGGTAACAGTTTATTTCTAGTTAATGAACAAGAATAAATGATAACAAGAAGGTGAACATTAATAAAGAATCAACAGTGGAGATTCCTGGAACCTGAACATTAATCATTTGATTTTCTCTGCATTTTCGCACATTTATAAATTCTTGTCAGTCTTGTAAAAATACATTTTATTTAACTCATTTTCCACACGCTACGACTTACGTAAGATTCTAATAATCTGTTTGCACACTGCGTGAGAAAGCCTACAACCAGAAACTGTTCTTTTCTTCCATTAGGCGATGCATGTCATGTGTCTGAACGATAAGAGGGTAGGACTATTTAATTGTAATTGTGATCTCTCATACAGAAACTCAGATAAACTGCATTCTGGGTAACAAATGCGTAGGTCTTCACGTCGGAATTCAGAAACGTCCTAAGAACACACTTATGATGATTAAACTATATATTTTCTCTGTATCCTCAGAAATTCAAGGGACAAAAATCATAATTTATTCAACTGCCACTAAGCTAACACTAACTGTTCACGCCCAGGAGTAATTAAGCCTTCTCAAATTTGCTCTTATGTGTAATTCTAAAAACTAGGTTATAAAACTTAATGAAAACACTTTATTCCTCGTATTAGTACATTAGCATATATATCAAATTAATAGAAGTATTAGCCTACATAACTACTATACACTCAGGATTCTACGATGTAGGTGATGTGTGCAAATTAGGTAAAAATAGGTCTTTTTTTGTGACAAATATTTTAAAAAATTATTTTGTCCAATGTTTCTTAAAACCTCGAGATCAGAATTATTTCTGAATAATTTGCCGAAAAATATATAGTCTAAATACTAGTAACATAATTATTCTTAAATAATATGCAGAAAAAAAATGTGTTCTAAACGCCAGTGTAACAGATAGCAGGCTTTACATCACCGAACTTTTCCAAATAACTAAGAATCGCAAAAACTCTTTGCAAAAGGACGTGTCCTAAGAGATCAATGAATATCTGCGCTTATGTTTTCAACAAGGGGAGAATTAGAGAAAACGGTTTTCGTAACCCGAACATATCTAAATAAGAAAAATATCACCTTTTAAAATACAGTAAAGTCTGTACGATAACCAGCTGATGGACCTACTGGATCTGATGTCACGTTTTGTGGTAAATGTAATTCTGCATTAGTCATTGGAATGACATTTTCCTTGAAACCCAATATGCTGATATTTCCAAAAAATAAATGAATAAGTAAAAATGTGTGGGAAAATTCATGTAGTTGGAAATATGCACAACCTCAAACAATTTCATTAAGAAACAAAACTAAATGATAAATATATATATATATGTGTGTGTGTGTGTGTGTGTGTATGTATACCACACAATATTTAACAAACAAGCCATTAGGTATGACCCCCCCCCCCACGTGAGTTAGTTGTAAGGTTAAACTTACAACCCTAAAAGCCATGGTTCAGTTCTCCGTGGTGCACAGGCCACAAATAGCCTATTATGTAGCTTTGGGCTAAATAAGGCCCGGCATGGCCGGGTGATTAGGCGCTTGACTCACAATCTGAGGGTCATGAGTTCGAATCCCCGTCCCACCAAACATTCTCACCTTTTCAACTGTGAGGGCGTTATAATGTACGATCGATGCCACTATTTTTTGATAAAAGAGTAGCCCAATAGTTGGCGGTGGGTGGTGATGACTAGCTGCCTTCCCTCTAACCTCTCATTACTAAATTAGGGTCAGCCAGCACAGGTTGTCCTTATGTAGCTTTGTGCGAAATTCAATCCAAACTGCTAAAATACACAAAACATTTTTTACTTAAGTAACTATACCTACAATGTGATGTTAATAACACAGACCTGCCCTCCAGTGGCACAGCGGTATGTCTGCCGACTTATAAGGTTAGAATCCGGGTTTCGATACCCGCGGTGGGCAAAGCCCAGATAGCCCATTGTGTAGGTTTGTGCTTAATTACAAACAAACAATTTATATGCAGAAATTTTAAGCACCAACCAATAATCAAATTTCTACTTAATCAGTAGTAAACTCTACTTACTATTTCAGATTTATCTTTGATTGTCTAACAAAAACCATACAAACTCAAATACGTAGTGTTTTGCTTATTGTATATAATATCTTAACATAATGATACTACTCTAAGAATATTTAGTTTCCTTGTGTATTGATTTAAATTTGTTTGTTTGAGATTTCGCGCAAAGCTACACAAGAGTTATTTATAACTTTCCCTAATTTTGAAATAATAGACTAGAGAGAAGAAAGATAGTCTACAGCACCCACTGCCAACCTTTGGCCTACTTTTATTTGATCGAACTGTGGGATTTAACCGTCACCCTTAAAACGCACCCTTTGCCTCAAAGTGCGGAGTGCGTTTCAGTGGCAACGGAACGCGAACCATGAATCCAATGATTAACAGTCCGAGTACGCTAATTATAATCGGGCCATTAATTTAAAATATTAAATGATACTGGTCAGTTTGTTTTATATAATCGCCTTCATACATTTTTAAGATACATTTTAGTCCTGATCTATATAGTTAGATTACTTATGATAAGAACATATTTTAATACATTTATTAAATAAATATTAATAAATAAATGAACTATAGAATAATTAAAGAGAGCCAGAATTGTTTGTCGATCCAGAGTGCTCTTCTGGGTGAAAACATTCGAATGATAACACAGGCCTGCGATGGTTTTATTGTCATGAAACTTTTACATGTCCTACAGTAATTACTGTACGCTGAATCCGAAAATTATATCGATTTTTCTCCATCACGTACAGATTGTTCACAAAACGTCATATGTAATTTTACATAAGTGAATCATTTGCATTGAAATCGGGTCCCATTTTGTTAGGCTTAAAATGTTGACAACCACTGGTTATAGATTTCTCTAGACCAATCGCGACGTTAGTCTTATCGGTTGTTCTAGAACCCACGAAGAACACACCGTTAGTATATAAACGGTTAACAAGCCACATGTCGTGTCATTTGTGGATAATATTTGTTTGTGCGTGCACTTTAACATTATTATTTTTCTTTTCAATATTATTTATTCGTCGGTATGGGTCCCCCAGTGGCACAGCAGTATGTCTGCGGACTTATAACGCTAGAAACAGGGTTTCGATACCCGTGGTGGGCAGAGCACAGATAGCCCTTTGTGTAGCTTTGTGCTTAACTACAAACAACAACATCGTCGGCATGGCTGTTATATTTGTGGTAAATTTGTTGTAAATTTGATCTAAGTAAGAGTTGTTTTTCTTCCCGATTTGTAAAAAAAAAAAATCCTTACGTAATAGAAAAAAATGAATATTATTTTTGAAATCTGCGTAACTGAATTATGGAAAATCCATTATTAAAACCAAAACAACTTTTATGAAGTTTAAATTCACAGGCTTGTGTAATTAACACTAGAAACTAAAACGTAACAAATTTCTTAAAACTGTATATATTCGAATGAAATATTTTACATGGACTGTAATTTACTACATGAAATTTTACTAATAATTACAGCTGTTGGTTTTTACTTATTGTCTTCTTTACGGTGTGTGAATATCTTTTACAGTCGTTATCATGGTTAGTAGCCTCAGGGTGGTCCTATGATGGATTATGGTGAACGGGATTCGAATCTGGGTCTTCTTGTTAGAAAGGTTGATGGGCTATCAACTCGAATCGTCCCCCAGTGAGACAGCGGTAACTTTACGGACTTACAACGCTAAAATCGGTAGTTCGATTCCCCTCGGTGGACCTAGCGCAGATAGTTCGTTCTGTAGCTTTGCGCTAAAAATCCAACAACAACAATCACTCGAACTCCAGCACTACTACTAACACATACAGTCCTACTCAGGACTTTGTTGAAGATGGTAGCAGATTATTAACAGAAACTTAATAATGAAGCAATCAGTATCTAGTACTAAAAACAAAAAACTTAGGTGATCGTATAGTTAACTAGTAACCACGACAGCTATTAATATCTGATCGTCACAGCCTTATCTTACGTACGTTTTATATTATATTTTATACTGAGTTACTAATGTAATGTAAAAGAGCTGAATATCAGCCACTGAATAACTGATTAGACTTGATGGATTAAACGTCAAGATTTTCCTTAATTTCTAGACCACTTTGAAACTGATAGCATATTAACATTAACCCCCTAGAACAAGAGTTTAAAATATTTGGATTCTGTCACATTTTCTTAATCTTTGAACTTTAGACTAATTACACTGCATTTATCTATAGAATGAAAACTGATAGAAATACATGAGCAAACTTGAAATGAGTGTTTGTAATATAAAGATCTGATTATCGATGGATAATTCTTTCTAAACAATGAGTTTCTCTTCCCTCACTGGTTTGTCTGATTTTGATACTTTTAATTCCGCAAAAATTATATACGGGGATTTATTATCATGCAAAATAATATGCCTCGTGACCATCTGTAAATTTCCAAGCAAATCTTAATTGATGTTTGTTGTTAGGTGGGGTACTGACTGGAAGGGAATTTTTAACTGCGTGTGATGCCTTTTAATAGAGTACTAATGCTGTTATAAACCACGAGCAGACACGTTTGTGTCAGTTAAAAAAGAGCTCGTAAACTCCAAATATTGAAATCCCACGTGATGCAAGTATGTAATAATATCATAATGGTCTTTAGTTACTTGGGGGAATATTCTTTTAAATACAAATTTAAACAATTTGCAGGTGCTACAAAATTATCAAACATTTCAGTAGAGATTTCGATAAGTTATTAGAATTAGCAAAAATTATTGAGTAAAAAACTTTTTATTAGCAGTATTCTTTGTATTAGAAAAATGTGTAACAAACACGAGATGGTGTTGAAAAGGTTGCACTGCTTAAAGTATTTTTCTTTGTATGAAATTAAGCACAAAGCTACACAATGCGCTGTCTGTGCTCTGCCCACCACGAGTGAGGCAGAGCTTAAAGTAATTTTAAATAACACCATAAACACTTAACGTAAGCCCTAGCATGGCCAAGTGATTAGGGCGCTCGACTCACAATCTGAGGGCCGCTGGTTCGATTCCCCGTCCCACCAAACATACTCGCCCTTTCAGCGGTGGGGGCATTATATGTGACGGCCAATCCCACTATTCGTTGGTAAAAGAGTAGCCAAAGAGTTGGCGGTGGGTGGTGATGACTAGCTGCCTTCCCTTTAGTCTTTCACTGCTAAATTAGGGACGGCTAGCGCAGGTAGCCATCGTGTAACTTTGCGCGAAATTATAAAACAAACAAACACTTAACGTAAAATATAAAATGAAGTTATTTCAGTTATATAAACATTTGCGTATATCATCATAAATAGAGAAAAGCAGTTTCTATTCAATAGAGAGTAGCGGTCAATTAACACAAACGGATAAAAAGAAACTAAAGAAGACTGTTTTTCTTTTTATATTTTAAACATAGTAACGATTATAAGTCTTTAATCTAACAAGAAGGAAGGATATGTTTGCTTTATCAACTCGCAAGAATGACTCACTACTAGCATAATAATTGTCCTCTCTACCTTATATCCACACATCGTTTTATAATTCTTTGTCTTCTTGTTGTTGTTATGCTGCATAATGGTGTCTTTGTGTTGTGTGCACCGCAAGGATCAAACTCCGAACTTTAACGTTAGAAGTCTTCAAGCTTACCGCTAAGCTGTTTTGTAATTACAATAAAAACAATTAGCCATAGTATATATATATATATATACATGTATGTGTGTGTGTATAGTATCACGACGTAACACCAACATTCTTATTTGAGGTAGTAAGTGCAGTGAAAAGAGTAAAGTGCCAACAAAATTTAAACGTTTTTTTATGCTTTAACATGACTAAATCATTGATCTGCATAATGAAAAAACCCTCAAAGATATATTGCTCACAAACGTTAGTGATTCGAAGTGTGCTGTTCAAAAGAAAAGAATGACATTTCTTGCAAAAAGAAGCTTCAGGCGAGAGGACACTATCATCTGAATAATATAAACGTGATTCGAAGTGTGCTGTTCAAAAGAAAAGAAGGACATTTTCTTGCAAAAAGAAGCTTCAGGCGAGAGGACACTATCATCTGAATAATATAAACGTGATTCGAAGTGTGCTGTTCAAAAGAAAAGAAGGACATTTTCTTGCAAAAAGAAGCTTCAGGCACACTATCATCTGAATAATATAAACGTCATATCAATTCAAACCATCCCCAGAAATAAATGCAGAAATGTAGGATAAGCAAGGAAAAGTTGAGTCACGTGCATCATAGTTTAAACTTTAGAAATAGTCATAAAAAGTAGGGAAAAGAATAATATAATGCTCTATAAACAAAAACTGAACGTACTGTAAATTCTAGAAGAGCTTTTGTGCAGAGGTAAGACTGATTGCGAGTGTAAGAAAAACAGTGAAACAGGGTGGTGAGTCTGTAACGTTTGTGATTGGTTTTCTATGCAGATATAGGAGATATAATGAAAATTTATTGTATTGTGAAAAACGAGATAGTATCACAATATCCTGTTTCGTCACGGGTAATACTCAGTGAACGACTATGAATTTCAGAAGCATAATGATCCGTAACATATGCAACATAATGATCTGTAATATATACCTTGTGGCATAAGAGGTATTTGGAGTAGAAAGAAAGAGTTGGTGATGTAAACGTTATCAAATAGCCAAGCCAAAGTCACGATTTTAATCTAATGAAGTCTTTGCTGTAGCAATTGAAAAGTGAAAGAAAGTAATCAACGGCAACGTATACAAAAAAGTAACGTACTAATGGTCAAACTGAGCATAAATATAAAGCATAACACAAAACAACACTTTTCCGTTAAAATCATTCCTAACGTTTAAGTGTTAATATTTTGGATTCAAAGCTATAACCGGTATTGTGTGTGTGTGTGTGTGTGTGTATATATATA